CTCAAGCTCCTCCCCACTTCAGCCACCTCGCCATCGCCACGTGACTTGCCTGAGTCCTGCTCCTCTCCACTCTGAGTCGGCTTGGAAGCTCACTCGTCTCTCAGACTCGGCTCGCATGCCGCCGCGGTGCTCTAACTGTCGCTCATCTTTCCTCTGTCCTTCTATTTATTCATGCTCTTATTCTGGATGAGCTCAGCAAGCAGTCAGAATTGGGACCAGGATGGCATGAGGCTAGGAAGTCAAGTGTCCAGAATGAGCTGTGGGAGAGCTGGGGCATGCTCCCAGCACAGTGGAGGAGCAGCCAGAAGGGCCTGAAGAATGAGACTAGCGGGAGGCAAAGGCCGAGGGAACTTGCAGGAAGAATCTGAAAATGTGACTGACACCTCAAGTGCATCACAAATAATGCTGCAAACCAGAGAGGATCCCAGGGTCCAGAAACACAGTTAAAGGAAGGGGCAAAGTAGAGTGAGAGGGTTGTGAAGATCTGAGGCAAGGAGGCATGGGTTTCAGGCTGGGACTGACATCAAAGGTTGGGGAAGCTGGGATCTAGAGACCCTGGCTGGCTACACACAGTCCCTTGAGACACTCTACATTCACCGGGTCATATCAGGGTTAAGAGGCATCCCCGAACCTATGCCAACTCCTGGGCAGAGACTCTCCCTGGAAGTCATCTGCGGGTGAAGACAAAGGTTGCAAACCCTGGCTGCTGCTCTCTGTGTCTCTCATGCCCTGCTCTTGGATCACCCTTCACCTTATCTCACACCTTCTCAGTTGGAGTACCATCCAGAAGGTGACAGGGTTCTTCACAAGGACTTCAGTTGCCACCTAATGTGTCACATACAGGGTATAAAGGATGTGTCTGTGACACAAGTGCACACTGGCTACTTTTTTTTTTCTGCCTCTCTCTGCCCCTCTGTTTGATCAGGCTTCTATGTCTTTAGAACATGGGCTTGGCGCTGGCACGATGGCTCAAGTGGTTAAGGTCCTCGCCTTGCACGCCCAAAATCCCATATGGGCGCCGGTTCTAACCCCGGCAGCCCCACTTCCCTTCCAGCTCCCTGCTTGTGGCCCGGGAAAGCCCAAAGCTTTGGGACCCTGCACCCGCATGGGAGACCTGGAAGAGGCTCCTGGCTTCGGATCGGCGCAGCATCGGCCATTGCGCTCACTTGGGGAGTGAATCATCAGATGGAAGATCTTCCTCTCTGTCTCTCCTCTCTGTATATCTGCCTTTCCAATAAAAAAATAAATTAATTAATTAAAAAAAATTTTTTTAAATCTTAAAAAAAAAAAAAGAACATAAGCTTGGTTCAGACTAGCCAAGGGAGGGGGGGAAGTCCTGGAGGCTTTGCTCCCTGGTGTAGGGTTGGGGTAAGCAATGTATAGATACCTGCAACTAGAACTGAAAGAGGCACAGAATCAGAGATGATACCGCCACAGAGTGTGTGAGATCAGGCCCTGTGTCCAAAAGAGAAGCCTAGTGCTAAGGGCTCAGAGGCAGAGGGGAAGCTGCGAGGAAGAGCAAAACAAAGCTGTGAGAGAGAAGGTGGAAAGGCCCTGGGGGTGGGGAGTTCCCACTTCTCTCCAGAAGAAACAGAAAATAAGAATGCAGCTGAACAGCCAAAGATGGGCATATAGGCCAAGAAGGTTTAAGCAAAATGACCCCACCTCACCCCCAGACAGTGTCTTGCCTAATCCCCCGAGTGTGACAGATCTGAATCCAGCTGTTGAGAGGCCAGCCAGTGAGAGCCGTGGGAAGACTGCCTTTCAGGCCCTGCATGGTAGACTGGTAGCTAAAGTCCTTGCCTTGCTTGCTCCCAAAATCCCATATGAGCCCCACTTCCCATCTAGCTCCCTGTTTGTGGTCTGGGAAAGCCTTGGGACCCTGCAGAGTCTACTGGCTCCTGACTTTGGATCAGCTGAGCCGTTGGCGACCACTTGGGGAGTAAATCAATGGACAGAAGATCTTCCTCTCTGTCTCTCCTACTCTCTATATATCTGACTATCCAATTAAAATAAATAAAGATTAAAAAAGAAGACTGGCTTTCAGATTTCATCCAAGGACATTACAAGTCAGTGATTTTGTAGAATTTTACCATGATCCAAGAGACCTGTCAGACTCAAGGACAACTGCACAGATACTTTCAAAGTGATTGTATCTCAGCTGTAATGCACAGGTGTGAACCAAGTCCTAGGAACTGTGCCTTCCTGCACAAATCTTCTCCATGCTGTTTTCTTTGAGGATCAAAAGTTGGGATTAGAAAAGCAACCTGGGCCCGGCGTGGTGGCTTAGTGGCTAAAGTCCTCGCCTTGAAAGCACCGGGATCCCATATGGGTGCCGGTTCTAATCCCAGCAGCTCCACTTCCTATCCAGCTCCCTGTTTGTGGCCTGGGAAAACAGTCAAGGACGGCCCAAAGCCAGATTTACACAAAGAAGAAGAGACAGAGAGAAACATCTTCTTTCTGCTGGTTCACACCCCAAGTGGCCACAACGGCTGGAGCTGATCTGATCTGAAACCAGGAGCCAGGAGCTTCTTCTGGCTTTCTCACATGAGTTCAGGGTCCTGCTGTCCTCTGGTGCTTTCCCACGCCACAAGCGGGGAGCTGGAAGGGAAGTGGAGCAGTCAGGGCACAAACTGGTGTCCATATGGGATGCCGGCATGTACAAGGGGAAGGTTTAGCCATTAGGCCCTCACACTCAGTAGGATACAGAACAAGCTGATGTGTAGAAACCAGAGGCAAAAGAAGCAATGTCATTCCTATGTTCAGCCTTGGCCTGAAGGACAGATTTTGTTTCTGCCCAGCCTGGCTGTTCTAGTTGTAGAAGTCTGACTGTAGTTCTGTCTGCAGCTGAAGCTCCTCAGCTTAGATCCAGGCCTCTTCATCCCTCACTGGTCCTGGAAGGACAGAATTAAGAAGTTCAGGGATGTGGAACTGGCCCTGTGGCATACCAGGCTAAGCCTTTGCTTGTGGCACCAGTATCCCACAGGGGAGCCCATTGAGTCCCAGCTGCTCCACTTCCAATCTATCTCAAGTTAATGCTCCTGGGAAAGTAGCAGAGGATAGTCCAAATCCTTGGGCCTTTGCACCGTGTGGAAGACCCGGAAGAGGCTTCTGGCTTCGGATCAGCTCAGCTCCAGCCAATGCAGCAATTTTGGGACTGAACCAGCAGTGGAAGCTCCTTCCACTGTGTCTCTCCTTCTCGTTGTAACTGTGCCTTTCAAATAAAAATAAAATACATTTAAAAATAATAAATCAGGGCCCAACACGATAGCTCAATGACTAAATCCTCACCTTGCAGGTGCCAGGATCCCTTGTGGGTGCCAGTTCGTGTCTTGACTACTCCATTCCCATTCAGCTCCCTGCTTGTGGCCTAGGAAAGCAGTAGAGGATGGCTCAAAGCCTTGGGACCATGTACCTGATTGGGAGACCCGGAAGAAGCTCCTGGCTCCTGGCTTCGGATCAGCTCAGCTCCAGCCATTACAGCCATTTGGGGAGTGAACCAACAGATGGAAGATCTTTCTGTCTATCTTTCCTTCTCTCTGTAAATCTGCCTTTCCAATGAAAATAAGCACATCTTTTAAAAATTATATATATTATATATTTTCAAACTTGATATAAATTATATATATATTTAAGATTTACTTATTTTTTTAAAAGATTTATTTTTATTATTTTTTCATTGGAAAGGTGGATATACAGAGAGGAGAGACAGAGAGGAAGATCTTCCGTCTGATGATTCACTCCCCATGTGAGCGCAATGGCCGGTGCTATGCCAATCCGAAGCCAGGAGCCTCTTCCGGGTCTCCCACACGGGTGCAGGGTCCCAAAGCCTTGGGCCGTCCTCGACTGCTCTGCCAGGGAGCTGCATGGGAAGTGGAGCTGCCAGAATTAGAACTGGCTCACATATAGGATCCGGATGCATTCAAGGTGAGGACTTTAGCCGCTAGGCTACCGCACCAGCCCCATATATTTTTAAAAATATATTATATAAAGTTAAGGACCTGGTTTGAATAAAAGGAAGACATCAGGGAGGGGCAAGAGTTTCTTTCACTCCTTCCCCATCACCTCCGCCCAGCCTTCTAAGGCTGGGCAGTTTCTGCCCTGGATCTTATCAGAATCTCCCTGCCCTTAATTCTCAGTTCGATGTCCCATTGCCTCGGTTTCCTTGCGACTCTGAAGAGGCACGATGAAATAATTACTGATGAAATAATCACTCTTAGGTAGTGAAATGTCGTCCAACCTCAAGCATGCCTAGGGTCCCCCTTCCTGTTCCCACCGTCCCGACAGACTGACTTCTACCACCCTCTAGTGGCCAGAGCCGACAGGACGCTCTCCCTCACGCCAGCCTTGGCCATGGACGCCTAAGGTATTAGCCACCAGCGTATTTTACAAACGAGAAAGCTGAGAAGGACTGAGGACAACAGTCACCGCACAGGTGGGACTAGAACTTGAGTCTCCTGACTCCCAGGCCAGTGGTCTTGTCCACTTCTGTCTCCTCTTCCCTTCTAGTCCCTGGGGAGGTCAGTTCGGGTTAGAAATCCCAACGTCAAAAGAACAGGACCCTTCCTTGCTCCCTGTGAAGCAACGTCAGCATTCCAGGGGGTATAATCTCAAGTGTGCAGGTGTACAAAGGAACTGGCCGTCCCTGGACTTCATGGGGTGAACAGCATTTCGGGTTTTTTTTTTTTTTTTTTTTTGGCTCGTGCACAGCTCTTGTCGCCTCGGTGACGTCTGGGTAGGGATTCCGAGGAGCTACCCAGGTCTCCCGTCTCCATGGGAACTCGTGCTTTGCGACCTGCTGTTCGCAACGGTCGCGCTGCAGTCCGCAGTGGTTGCTGGGCGACGGCGGAGTGAAGGCAGCGGCTTCAGGTTGGGACAGCGGCTGGTTTCTGGCAGGGGAAGGGAAATTCAGTTTAAGCCCTGATTAAGGGAGTCGTCCTCCCTGCCCCTCCCTTCAGGCGCTCTCTGAGCTGCAGACCCTGCTGCTCTCCCCAAGCCCCATGGCGGTGGGGGGGTCCTCTGCTCGGGCTGGAGGTTCAAGTTGGACCTGGCGGCCGGTGGCGCAAGACCCGCTTCTAGCTCGAGGCTTCCATTCATGCACGGAACTACGGGGGCGGTTCTATCTGGTGGGGGGCCTCCCAACAGGAGAAGCCAGACAGCCCAGCAGCGACACGGTAGTCTTCGACCCAGCTGAGGAACTGGTAGTGCGACTGGGAGCCCGGGGCAGCCCCCCGCGGAGTCACCATGACGCAGCAGCTGTGGGCGGTCGCTGGCTCTGCGTGGTGGGTGGCTGGGACGGGTCGCGCCGTCTGTCCGCAGTGGCCGCCCTGGACACAGAGCGCGGAGTGTGGGAGTCGTGGACAGCGGCCCCGGGCAACAGCCCCCCTGCAGGCCTCAGTAGTCACACGTGCACCCGCTTGTCCGACCGAGAGCTGCAGGTGGCTGGCCGAGAGGGTGGGATCCGCACTCAGCGCTGCCATGGAAGTATCTACACGTTAAAGCTGGACCCGGGGACCCACACCTATTGGTACGGCACCTCGAGTCTCAAAACCCTTCACCCTTTTTATCTACACTCGGGTAACATGAAAGACTTCTCTGGCTTCGGTGCTTCCCCCCATCCCCATCCCAGGAATCTGACTTTAGTCTGTATAGTTATGTATTATCCTTTCTCTCCTCAGACCCATCCCCCACTGCTGCACACCTTTCTGTACTTGTATAGCACTTTATATTTTCCAAAAAGCATTACTCAGGCCTGCCTTTCTGTGTATCCACAGCTACAAGGAAGACGGCCACACAGCCTCCCGCTCAGGCCACTGTGCAGCCCTGGTCGCGGCTCCCGGGCCCCACCCAGGGCATCAGCTCTTGCTCTTCGGGGGCTGCAGTGCAGCCGAAACAGAAGTAGCTGGACGCTGGAGTCCCGGGAAGATTAAGGTATTATCTGCTCACAGCTTGCCTAGGGAGCAAGGCGGCTGACACAGCCATGCCCAAGTCTCTTGCAACAGTCCCTTTTTTCTCCCTGAAGGAGGAACCACCTGTTGCCCCACATTTGACAGAACAGCTTGCAAAGCTTGTGAGCAGCGCACAGGGGTCCCTGCAAGGACCCCAGGGACTACGGCATCACTCATGTTCTGTGGTGGGACCCTTTGTCGTGCTGTTTGGTGGAGAAAGTCTGACCAGAGCAAGAGACACCATCTGCAATGACCTCTACATCTATGATACCCGTGAGGACCCAGCTTATGGTTGAAGGTGGGAAAAGCTAGGAGGGCATAAAGACTACAGAAAGAAGATGGAGCGATGGGGATAGGGAGGGGGAAGAATTAGCTGACACGAGTTAAGAGCTTTACGGGTAATAGATGCTCCTGCCTTCATAACCACTCTCTGCCCCTACCCAACAGGCAAGTCGGCTTCTCCGTGGTTCCACTTCCCCTGTGCAGACCGTGGGCTGAAACGCAAGGGCCACCGCACCTGCCTCTGGAATGACCAGCTTTACCTGGTTGGGGGTTTCGGTGAGGATGGCAGGACAGCTAGTGCACAGGTCTGCATCCTGGATCTCTTTATCTGAAGAGCAGTGCTAAGACGCACCACCAAGTCTGTTGTGCTGCAAACCCACCAAGGGGCTAGCACCACGACTGACTCACCCCAGATGCTTATTAAATTTCAATCTGATAGTGAACACTTGTCACTAAACTTTTTTGGGGGGGTGGGAGGGTACAAATAATGAGATACATCTTTATTTCCAAGGAAAAGGATAAAATAGGGGATCTATTCTAAAGTGAATAGTCATTAAATGAACTCAATGGAAATAAAATGCACAAATCACACGGTCCCAGACCTTACACAATTTACATCCTTAACTAGGAGAAAGTTTCAGGCTACAGCTAAGCATTATGACCAAAACATTTAATTAACAAAAAATATTACAATAGCAGAGAAAATAATAATAATAATAACAATAAAGAGAACCAGAAGAAGCAGGAGTCAGGGTAGAAAAAAATGCGAAGACCTTGGTCCCTAGGAGACCAAGACTCCAGCTGAGCCAGCCTTGGCCCCAGACCCTTCTGAATTTTCCTTGGCGGCCGGCTTCTCATCTTCTCCCATGAGACGAATGTTGTGCTTTTCCCGGAACTCGTTTAGTTCTTTTCCCTTCGCTTGAAGCTGCTGTGTCAGCGTCTCAATGATCTTCTGTATCTGGAGGGCAAGTAACAGGCATTGCGTAAGAATTTCAGGATTCCCTTACCCCACTGGAACAGACTATGACTGAGAGAAGTGATGATATGTCTAACTTAAGCTTCAGACCAGACTATTAAGTTATTCCTTTCTCAAATACAGTGGCTTATAAACTTTAATATATCTCAAAATAACCTGATACTCTAGAACTATCATGTGTGATGACTTCCCCAAAGGTTCTGATTCAGTGGGTCCAAAAGGTTCAAGAAGCTGTATTTTAAATTGATCCTTCCCCTAGCTGTAGGCAGATGCCTAGGTTGCCTTGTACCTAGGCAAGTGTTACACTGCTGGGAGAAAAGCAGCCAAGAGTCAGTGGGCATCCCGGGCCTGGTTAATGCCTACTTTGTGTTAACCAGTGTGCCAGCATAGTCCCTATTCTATTTTTCTTTTTTAAAGATATGTGGGAACCTGGTGCTGAACCACTTGGAGAGGACCTGTTATTTTTGGGTCAGGGCTTCATCCCTAGCAGAGCAGCTCCCTCGTTGTGATCTAACAGCTAGCCCTCGACACAGGGTTTGAAATATGATAAATCAATAACAGTACTAAAGAAAAACAGTTTTTAAAAAAAAAATGTGGAAAAGGTGGGAAATGCTAGACCAGGACATGCCACTCTGGCCCCCAGGTGGAGGGGGGTGCCCTGGCTGCCAGGGGAAGAGGGTCTGGGGACATACTGGAGTGGAGGCTGCTAAGGGCATGTCTGACAGGGAAGAAATGATTTCTGGGGTCTTCCACTGAGTGAGCACTCTCAGGTAAGCAAGGGAGCTGAGATAGAGTGGCTTACAGGGGGGAAATTGGAGGGCATGCCAGAGTCAGGCCAAGGTACCCCTCCATGTGGGAGACCTGGGCTGAGCTAAATAGCATCACCCGCCATCTGCTGGCACACTCCTGAGGGTTATGCCTGGCTGGGCTAGGCCACAGTACCCAATCACAAGTTTTGGAGCAGAGCGTGGGTCACGGTCACGTCAGGCTGTGCCACAGTACCCACCAGAATGCGAAAGAACCAGATCTTGGGGTAGGGGCCTTGTGGACCTCTGTGGACTGCAGCACCCTCTGGTTTGCATGAAGAGCTGGGGTAGTGATAGGCAAAGCCAGGCTGACTTCACAGGAACCCGTCTGACATCTGCAGGAGCTAGGGCTGGACCACGCTGCAGCACCCACTGGCACATGCAAAGGCTGGGACTGAGGGCAGACCATGCCAAGCAGGGCTAAAGCAACAACTAGCACATGTGAGACCCTGGGCCTGGTGTGGGAATTTGGGGAACTCCCCCACTAAGCTGCAGCTCTGTACATTAGCAGTGGCTGAAAGCAGGCCAGACCAGGTAAGACTGCGGCATTCAGTATTTTTTTAATGTAGATCTTTTCTTAAAAATATTTTATTATTTTTATTGGAAAGATATATAGAGGGGAGGAGAGAGGAAGATCTTCCATCCAATGATTCACTCCCCAAGTGGCTGCAAATGGCCAGAGCTGTACTGATCTGAAGCCAGGAGTGTCCTCCAGGTCTCCCACACAGGTGCAGGGTCCGAAGGCTTTGGGCCGACCTCAGCTGCTTTCCCAGACCACAAGCAGGGTGCTGGATGCGAAGCGGGGCTGCCAGGATTAGAACCGGCGTCCATGTTGGATCCCAGGCGTGCAAGGCTAGGACTTTAGCCACTAGTCTACCATGTCGAACCCAGCATTCAGTATTTGTATGGGCTGGGTTTGTAGGTAGGATGGGCTAAGCTGCAACATACACCCAGCGAAAGCCAACTGCAACTGAACTGAACTGAAGTGCCTGCCAGCACATGCAAGATCTGGGGCTAGGAATTGGCCTGATAAGAGAACTTTGGGAACTCCCCTGCTAGGCTGCAGCTTCCACTGATGAGTGTGAAAGCTAGGGCTGAAGGCAGACTGGGCTGGGCAAGGCGGCAGCACCTGTCAGCATCTGTGTAGGCTGGATTTGGGGGCAAGCCAGACTGGGCTAGGCTTCAATACTTGCTGGGACTCGCAGAGCCAGAATGGGTGTGGGACATGTCAAGATAGTCCAGGCTGTAGCACCCACTGGTGAAAGTGAGAACAAGTACAGACTAGTCAGGCTAGGCCACAGTACACAAGGCTGTTAGGACCGGGGCTACTCAGCTGAACTGGGCCTCAGCACCCACAGGCACACGTGAGATCCAGGGCTGGGAGCAGGCCTGGTAGGGGAACTTTGGCAGCTCTCCTGCTAGGCTGCATCTCCTGATGGTGAATGCAAGAGCCAGAGCTGGGGACAGGTCAGACTAGGCTGGATCAGTCCAAGGAACAAACTGGCATGAATGAGAGCCAGAATGGGACATAGACCAGGCCAGTTTGGATCAAAACACCCATAAGTTCACATGAGGACTGGGATGGACCAGGTTGAGACAGACTGTAACACTTGCTGGCAAATGCCAAGATAGGGGATGGGCCATCTCAGACTGGGGCCACAGTACCCACTGGCACGCACATGATGACTCAGGACTGGGAGTGGGCCTGGTAGGAGAACTTTAGAAATTCTCTTGATGGGCTGCTGCTTCCACTGGTGAGAAGGAGAGCTAGGACCAGGGGCAGGCCAGGATGGACTGCAGTACCCCCGGCAAACACAAGATCTGGGACTGTGAACAGGCTTGGTAGGGAAAGAGTAGGAAATCCAATGTTGGGCTGCAGTTCCTGTTGGTGAGCAGAGGGGCCTGGGCTCATAGTTAAGTCAGGCTGGGCAAAGCAGAAGCACCCATCATCATGTATATGGGTTGGGGTAGGGATAGGATGGGCTGACTAAGCTGCAGCACCCACGGTTGTGCACAAGACCCATATGGGATGTGGGATGGAGCTAGGCTGGAGAACATGCTGGCACATGCAAAAACCGGGTCTGGGGTGGGCCTGGTAGGGTTACTGAGGATCACCCCGACTGGACTGCAGTCAGTACCTGCCGGCGTACATGAGGTCCAGGCCTGTGGTGGGCTGGGTCTGGCTGGGCCATAGCATTCATCAGTTCACATGAGAGATAGGACTGGGGTGGAAATGACCAGGCAGCTACATTCAACAATTCATTAGCTAGTGCAGGTGATAGACTGAACTTGACCCTGCACTGGCAAACAAAAGTTTGAGGTCACCCTAGGACTCCCCAAATTAGATTGCTGGGCTCAAACCCAGCCACAGGGAAAATTACATAATGTGTGGTTTGACCTTGGAATGTATGTGTTGGGACTGGGCCTCCTCAGTCACTAATGTCTGTGCAGTGCACAGCATGCCCAGATGCACATGGGGACGTGGCAGCCAGCTCATCTAGGCTTGCAAAGGACATGCACGTCATCAATGACAGGAAGCAGCACAGGCTGGACAACTCTCCTGGCCAAGCTTTGTAACCTGTTCCTGGGCCTGTGAATGCACTAAAGTGGACTTGGTCAGCCAACAGACCTTAGAAAGATTTTCTCAACTCTGATGTAATGAAGCTGACAACGTCTCAGAACTATCAAAATCACTCAAGTATCACTCTCAGAACATTCTTCCCCACAGCCAGTCTCTACGGCATCATCAAATGGCTTTCCCCCATCCCTGGGTGCTGATGCAATTTGACAATCAGGAGTGGCCCTTTAAATAGACATAGAAGGGGCCCGGCACGATGGCGCAGTGGTTAAGGTCCTCGCCTTGCATGCCCAGGATCCCATATGGACGCCGGTTCTAATCCTGGCGGCCCCGCTTCCCATCCAGCTCCCTGCTTGTGGCCTGGGAAAGCAGTTGAGGATGGCCCAAAGCCTTGGGACCCTGCACCTGCGTGGGAGACCCGGAAGAGGCTCCTGGCTTCGGATTGGCTCAGCTCCAGCCATTGCGGCTGCCTGGGGACAGAAGATCTTTCTCTCTATCTCTCCTCTCTGCATATTCATCTTTCCGATAAAAATAAAATAAATCTTAAAAAAAAAAGACATAGAAATAAAAGAACTAGAACATTTGTCCCACCCAATCTCCTCCACACCTCTCACCCTCCCTACCCTACTCAGAGACCACATGGGTGTGCAACACTCTCAAGTAGGTAAACAATGTAAAACATAAAGTTTAACACATTAAAAACAATTAACTAGATTTCAGAGGGGCTGGCATTTAGCCTAGTCATTAAGCTGTCCATGTCTGACACCAGTATGCCTGGGTTTGAGTCAGCTCCTGACCCCAGCTTCCTAACAACGCAGACCCTGTGACACAGCAGTGTTGCTTTAAGTGGAGACCTGAATTGAGGTTCTGGCTCCTAGCTTCAGCTCAGTATCACCTCTGCTGTTAAAGCATTTGGGGAGTGGACTCTGTATGGGAGATGTGTCTTATGAACAAATATTCACTGACCAGTAAATCAGTCCTTTAGATGATTCTGATTCAGGTATCCAAGGATTGAGAACTGTTCTAGCTTTTCTCCAACTCAGCTAAGTAACAAACAGCTCATGAAAAAGGTACTTAGCCAACAACCCCTGTAAGAGTTTCCTTAGCACAGCATGAAGAGCAAAAGCTTAAAAGGCTGATTTTAAAAATAAAGATTTATTTATGTATTTGAAAGCCAGAGTGAGAGAGACAGAGAGACAAAGAAAGTTCTTCCATTTATATGTTCCCTCCCCTAATGGCCAGAATGGTAAAGGCTAATTCAGGCAAAAGCCAGGAACTGTACCCAGGTCTCCCCCTTGCGGGTGCCCAAGCACCAGGGCCATCTTCTGCTGCATTACCAGGGGAAGCAAAGCACCAGTGCTCCAACAGGTGAGGCCAGCACTGTAGGCAGCAGTAAGCTCCCTAAGCCACAACTCTGGTCCAAATTGATTCTACTTTCAAGAGGAGAAGTTTCCATACACTTTTCTGCACTCTGTTTCCTAAATCCTTGTCCCCCTCTTCCTCATCTCCCTTCCTCCCACATTCCTCCTTACCTGCTCCTTATTGTTCTCCAGGGCAGGCAGCACCTCTTTGACAGTCCGCTCCACCAGCACTCCTCCAACCATGCGGTAGCATTTGCGAGTTTCATCCACCTCCTTCAGTGTATCGATCACTAGGCTGGGAGGACAAGGCGAGGACAAGGACTCAGTCCCTCCCTCCTGAACTCTTCCCTCCCTCACCCAGCGGTCCATCCGACTGTTTCTCTGTCATGTTCTCACCTGTGCTCATTCAACTCCATCTCCAGCTCAGCTGCTTTGGATGCCAGGCCCCTCTGTTCTTGCCGAAGGCGGTTAAAGCCAGCAATTACCTTAGGTGAGCAACAGGAGATAAAAGGACAGTGCAAATGGCAAAGGGTCAAGACATAAACCAGAAAAAAAAAAAAAAAAAGACATAAACCAGGATGGCCAATTTTACAAAGGTGCAGTAGAGGACATTCACTGTGGAAAAGGAATAAAACACAAGCTTGCCATTTCTAACTCAAGCCCATCTGGAATTCCATTTACCAAACATTTACTGAATGCTTAATATATGTGCGATATTTTCTAGGCACTGGGGGGATTTAACAGAGTAGATCTAACCTCTGGCTTTTTTTTTTTTCCTTTTTCTTACCATTTATTTTATTTGAAAGGCAGAGTTACACAGAGGACAGCGAGATCTTCCATCTGCTGGTTCACTCCTTAAATGGCCACAATGGCCAGGGCAGGCTGATCCAAAGCCAGAAGCCAAGAGCTTCTTCAGGGCTCCGACAAAGATGCAAGGGCCCAACAACTGGACCATCATCTGTTGCTTTTTCAAGCCATTAACACGGAGCTACATTAGAAGTACAATGGTTCAGACTTGAACCAGCGCCAACATGGGAATGCTAGCTGTTCTATGATGCCACAGCAAGGACACCTGGATTTTTTTTTAAGATTTATTTATTTTGGGCCTGGCACTGTAGCCTAGTGGCTAACGCCCTCACCTTGTGTGCGCCGGGATCCAATATGGGTGCCAGTTCGTGTCCTGGCTCCTGGCTTTGGATTTGCTCAGCTCCAGCCATTGCAGCCACTTGGAGAGTGAATCAGTGGACAGAAGATCTTCCTCTCTGTCTCTCTTCCTCTCTGTATTTCTGCCTTTCCAATTAAAAAAAAAATTAAAGATGGACTCCCAACGAAACTGCTTAAATATATCTTGACAATAAGATGCTGGGCTCTCTGCCACTGTCCATACCTACAATGTCAGGATGCACTTAAATAGCAGAATGATGGACTTATGACTGTTTATGAAAGACGATACTATTGTAATAATGCAGGGGAAATCAGTGGGGGTCAGCGGTTTGGGGGAGAGGGTAAGAGAAATCCCGAGCCTATGCAATGGTATCAGAAAATAATACAATTTAAAAATTTAAAAACATATATTCATTTTTATTGGAAAGACGGATCCAGAGAGAGGAGAGATAAAGATCTTCTACCTGCTGGTTCACTCCTCAAATGGCTGCAATGGCAAGAGCTGAACTGATCTGGAGCCACGGGCCAGGAGCTTCTTCCAGATTTCCCAGCTGGGTATGGGGTTCCAAGGCTTTTGGGCCATCCTCTACTGCTTTTCCATGCCACTAGTAGGCAGCTGGATGGGAAGTGGAGCAGCCAGGGCATGAACTGGATCCTGGCACTTTCAAGGTGCCATCATGCTGAGCCCACAGAATTCTTTACATTCTCCAAACTGGCATGCGCAATTTTATGTAAGACACCTTTTTTCTAGAAATCTTGATTATTTAACCACCAGTTTACTCCGCAAATGCCTAAAACAGCTGGGGCTCGGCAGGCCACAGCCTAAAGCCAGGGACTCTGTGGGAGCCTCCCACATGGTGAAAAGGACTCAAGTACGTAAGCATCCTCTGCTGCCTCCCACGATCCATCAACAGCAAAGTGGGTCAGCAATGGCGGTACTGGCTGTCAGCACTCCGAAACGGGAGCAGGCATCCCATGTGGCAGCTCAACAGCTGTCCCAGAAAAATGGTCTCCTTATTTTTAAGAGTTATACAGTATTATAACCTACACTATTTTCAAGGGCCTAGCACGGTAACCTGGTGGCTAAAGTCCTCACCTTGAATGTGCCGGGATCCCATATGGCCGCCAGTTCTAATCCCGGCGGCCCCGCTTCCCATCCAGCTCCCTGCTTTTGGCCTGGGAAAGCAGTCAAGGATGGCCCAAAGCCTTGGGACCCTGCACCCACGTAGGAGACCTGGAAGAGGTTCCAAGCTCCTGGCTCTAGATCGGCACAGCACCGGCTATAGCGCTCACTTGGGGAGTGAATCATTGGATGGAAGATTTTCCTCTCTGTCATCTCTCCTCCTCTCTGTATATCTGACTTTGCAATAAAAATATATAAATCTTTTTATATATTTTTATAAATAAAAATATATAAATCTATATATAAAGTCCTAGCTTTGAATGCGCTGGGATCCCATATGGCCGCCAGTTCCAATCCCGGCAGCCCCGCTTCCCATCCAGCTCCCTGCTTGTGGCATGGGAAAGCAGGGGAGGACGGCCCAAAGCTTTGGGACCCTGCACCCATGTGAGATATCCAGAAGAAGTTCCTGGTACCTGGCTTCGGATTGGCATAGTATCGGCCGTTGCGCTCACTTGGGGAGTGAATCATTGGATGGAAGATCTTTCTCTCTGTCTTTCCTCCTCTCTGTATATCTGACTTTCCAATAAATAAATAAATCTGTAAAAATATATATATATATTTTTTTCTTTTTTTCAAATCTGCTTAACTAGTCCTCTGTTGTTGAGTCATTCAGATTTTTTTCTAATTTTTCTGCAATAAACAACACTGAGATTAAACATCTTTGGACAAGAATTTGACAACTATCATAGCGTTACCAGCAATGTCTAACCATACCTGTTTGCCCGAGTCCAACAGTAGCTGTCACTATTTTTTTCCTAGTTTACTAATTTTTTGAGTTGGGATTAATTCAAAAAACCCTGGAATCATCACTCATTCACCATCCACATTCAATTAATCCAAGTTCCGTCCACCTGCTCAGTACCTCAAATCCATCCACTTCCATCACAACTGTTACTACTGCAGCTCCTGGAGCTACACTGCCTTCAAATATGCTTGCCAATAAACTCCCTACCCCAGGGACAAGCAACTGAAAATAAATCTAATCATATTCCTCCTATGCCTAAACCCCCCAACAGTTCTGGATGCCCATGAAATAAATTCCAAATTCCTCAACATGGTGAAGATATCCTGTAAAGACCTGATTCCCAAGAAGTCCTTCCTTCCATACCTGAATTCCACACTCTTACTCATCACTTGCTCTAAGTGAGGCATTCATTTCCAAACTCCGCCCTACTTCGTAGACTTTTCCAAACTTCTTTCATTCTATTTCTCAAATGAACTCTAAGTCTTTCTTTTTAAAATTACCGATTCTACTTATTTGAAAGGCCGAGAGGAAGAAAGAGATTACATCCAAGGGTTCACTGTCCAAATGCCCAAAATAGCCAGGGCCGGGCAAGGCTGGGGGCAGGAGCTAGAACTCCATCCAAATCTCCTGTGTGTGTGGCTCCAGCTCAAGCCTGAGTCATGTCCCGCTGCCTCCCAGGCAAAAGGCCAGAAAGGGAAGCAGAGTTCAGACACAAACACAGGCACTGCAATAAGCAACGGGGGAGTCCCATCTGCCAAATCTACCTGCAGTGATTCTTTCTTAAGATTTCAACTTGGAGCCTCCCAGGGAGCAGCTCTATCCCTCCCCTACTTCTATATGCCAGCCCTTTCTATGTGGTCACAGAGAAACACATGTCACTTTAATTATTATTAATGAAAAAGTTTTTATTTGTGTTCATTTTTTTAAAGATTTATTTTTATTGGAAAGGCAGATATACAGAGAGGAGGAGAAACAGAGAGGATCTCCGTCCAATGGTTCACTCCCTAAGTGACCACAATGGCTGGAGCGGAAACAATCTGAAACCAGAAGCCTCTTCCCGGTCTCCCACGCGGGTGCAGGGTTCCAAGGCTTTGGTCTGTCCTCGACTGCTTTCCCAGGCCACAAGCAGGGAGCTGGATGGGAAGCGGGACCACCAGGACACAAACTGGCGTCCATATGGGATCCCAGTGAATGAAAGACAAAGACTTTAGCTGCTAGGCTACCCATTTTTTTTTTTTAAAGATTTATTTTCTTGTCTTTTTCTTTACCCCAGATACAGGAAAGAAAAAAGAGAATGTAGAAACAATGGTCTTACCACTTTCCTGTAGCCCTTGACCCTTTGAGCCCTAATCAACTATGTAAAGATCATTAAAAAATTTATTTTTATTAGAAAGGCAGATTTCACAAGTAGGGAGCTGGATGGGAAGTAGAGCAGCCAGGATACAAACCAGTATCCATATGGGATCCCAGCACATGCAAAGCTAGGACTTTCACCCTAAATCAGGTAACTCTGATTTTCTTTGTGCTCCGTAGGCTGTTTAGCAATATCCCTAGACTCCACCCACTGAAAACCCTGTGGACAACCAAAATGTCTCCAAGCATTGCCCGATTATTTTCAGGCAAAATCATGCCAGACTGAGAACCGCTGCCACAGGTTAACAGTGAGAACTAAACTGAGGCAATATGCCAACTGCCTGATACAATGCAGGCCCTACACCCTCCCGTGGCTTCAGCTCTCTGGTTCTCCCCACTCTCTAACTTCCTTTTTTCTCCTTCATGGATGTTCCACTTTTTGGGCCCAGCAAATTGCTCAACTGGATAATCCTCCCCTTGCAAGTGCTGGCATTCATTCCTATCATGGAGACAGGACTTGAGATTCTGTTCACAGTACTATCATCTACACCACATCAGACAGCATTCTCAACTACTTCTGTGGTGTTATTGATAGTCATTATTGTTAGTGCCTCCAAACCCCAGAAATTTTAGAACCATATTTGTAAGTCTGGAAACAGTATTTATATCAAGCATAAATGGTTTTAAAACTTGACCATGATTTTTCTAAATCTGCTTCTTCACCCATAAGAGATGTAACACTTCCCTAAGGCGATGAGAGGAATCATTAAATAATTACATCAAGAGCTGGTGGTGTGGCAAAGTGCATTAAGTCACCATCCGTGATGCCAGAAGTCATTATATCAAAGCTGCTGCTTCACAACCCAACTGCTCTGCTTTTTAAAAAAAAGATTTATTTTTCTAATTTATTTTTATTGCAAAGTCAGATATATGGAGAAGAGACAGAGAGGAAGATCTTCCATCCGATGATTCACTCCCCAAATGGCCGCAACAACTGGTGCCACGCCAATCCAAAACCAGGAGCCAGGAACCTCTTCCGGGTCTCCCACGTGGGTGCAGAGTCCCAAGGCCCGGGCCTTCCTTGACTGCTTTCCCAGGCCACAAGCAGGGAGCTGAATGGGAAGTGGGGCTGCATGAATTAGAACTGGTGCCCATATGTGATCCTGGCGCTTGCAAGGAGAGGACTTTAGCCACTAGGCCACAGCGCCGAGCCCAGCTGCTCTGCTTCTTAAGACCTTCTGTCTTACTTGCTTTAAGGACAACTAGATCTAACTTATGCTGTTTGGAAGGCAGAGTGACAGAGTCAGATCGTCCACCTGCTCCCTCACTGCCCAAATGCATCCAAATGGGCCAGGGGCAGGAGCAAGGAACCCAAGTCTCCCATTTGGCCATTAGGGACTCATGTACTCAGGCTCCCAGATATATCAGCAGGAAGCTGTATCAGCAACAAAGCAGGAAGAGCTCCAACTGCCACTACACTGTGACGGGCATGAAGTGTACTGAGCAGCAGCTTACCCTGCTGCACCTCCGCACCTGCCCCTTTTCTTAACTTCTACATGAGACAGAACAGCAGTCATTTGTCTTTCTGTGTCTAGTCTATTTCACTTAACACAATGATCACTAGGCTCCACCCATTTTGCTGCCAACATCAGGATTTCCCATCTTATTGGCTGAACAGTATCCGACCATGTATAACCACATTTTATCCTGTGGCAGCTCTATATCATTCTATATTCTGACTATTATGATTAGTACTGCAAATGCATGTGGGAGTGCAGGCACCTCTCTTATTCACTGATTTCATTTCCTTGGGATTACACCCCGGAAGTGGGACAAGTGGGCCATGTCATATTTCTGGTTTTGTGAGGAACCTCTGCAGTTTTCCAAAATAGTTGAGTCAATTTTTCTTTTTCTTTTTTAACTTTCATTTTTCTCAAGTATTTTTTGGCTGGGGCTGAGCCAGGCTGAAATGGGGAGCTAGAAGTCAAGAACTCAAAGAGGCTCACCCCAGCACGAAGCCAACACCGCAGCCACACCAATACAGCATGCTGGCTCCACACTCAGCCCTAACATTTTTATTTACTTGAAAGGTAGAAACAAAGAGAGTAAGCTCCAATTTGCTGGTTCACTTCCCAAATACCCACAGTGGCAGGCACTGAGCTGAGACCACTGGAGGAAACTGGGAAATCCAGGCAGGTCTCCCACAGGACAGGCAGGAATACAACCATGCCAGCCACCATCGCCGCCACGCAGGGTCTGCACTGGCAGAAAGTTGCAATCAAGAAGTGAACACATGAATGCCAAACAGGACCTGCACTTCACCACTAGGTCAAATGCCCACTCTAGCTTATCTTTTAATTCCATTTCCTATTAATTTGGTTTTAATTTATTCATTTTTATTTGAAAGGCAGATTTTGCAGAGAAAAAGGAGAGACTAAGAGAGATCTTTGTCCATTGGTTCACTCTAGAAATGGCTGCAATGGCTGAAGCTGGGCCAGTCTGAAGCCAGAAGCCAAGAGCCTCCCCCAGGTTTCCCATTCGGGTGCAGGGGCCCAAGAACTCCTGCCATCCTCTGTTCACCCAGGCCATAAGCAGGGACCTGGATCAGAAGTGGAGCAGCCAGGACACAAACTGGTACCCACATGAGATGGCCAGCACCACAGGAGGAAAGTTAGACAGCTACGCCACACAGAGGCTGCTCTCACAAGTTTTTAAAAGATGTACTTACTTATTTGAAAGAATTAGAGACAGGGAGAGACAGGGATCTCATATCTGTCTGTTCACTCCCCATATAGCTGCAAAGGCTGGGGCCACTGTGCCAGGCCAGAAGCCAGAAGCTTCTTCCAGGTCCCCCATGTGGGTGGCAGGAGCCTAAAGACTTGGGCCATGTTCCACTGCTTTTCTCAGGGAATTAGCAGGGAGCTGCACTAGAAGTAGAATGGCTGGGGCTCATCCCTGTATAGGATGCCAGCATTGTAGTCAGCAGCTTAACCCCATTTGTTACAGCAATGGCCCCATCCATGAAAATTTTGAAGTATCCTTGTGTGTCACTCAAACTTGCAAAGGTAATAAAAAGGTTTTTTTTTTTTTTAAGATTTATTTTATTTTTATTGCAAAGTCAGATATACAGAGAGGAAAAGAGACAGAGAGGAAAATTTTCCGTCTGATGGTTCACTCCCTAGGTGACCACAAAGGCTGGTGGTGTGCCAATCCGAAGCCAGGAGTCAGGAACTTCTTCTGAGTCTCCCATGCGGGTGCAGGGTCCCAAGGCTTTGGGCCATCCTCGACTGCTTCCCCAGGCCACAAGTAGGAAACTGAATGGGAAGTGGGGCCACTGGGACTAGAACCAGTGCTGATATGGAATCCTGGCATGTTCAAGGCGAGAACTTTAGCTGCTAAATCAGTGCGCCGGGCCCAATAAAAAGGGTTTTTATTGTTTTCCCTCTGGATTTTCCTCAGTGGGGGAGAGGGGGAAGTCATGAGGCAAATGTTTGGCACAGAGATTTAGGTGCCACTTAAGCACTGGCTCCACTTCTGATTGCAACCTCCTGCACAACAAGGGAGGTGCCGGATAATGGCTCAAGCATGCAGCTCCCTGCCATTCACGTGGGAGACCCAACTTCTAGGCTCCTGCTTCAGCCTGGCCAGGCTCTGGATCTCTGCAGAGTCAGTGAATGGGAGATGTGTCTTTCAAATAAGCAAAAATGAAAAACACTCCCCCTCCAAGGAAAGTTGGGCGAAGCATTCAGCAGCCAAAATGTCCCTTTGGATGTATCCCTCCTCCACCCGCCATCAGAGTGTCTGGATTCACGTCCAGGCTCAGCTCCTTGCCATGGCGTACCCCTGGAGGCAGCAAGTGTGGCTCCCACAGCTGAGGTCCCTGCCGCTCACACAGCAGTCTTATCCCAAGTTCCCAGTTCCCGACCCCTGCCTTCAGTGCCAGCACCAACCAAGCCTACTGTGAGCATTTCAGCAGCAAACCAGAAAACAGGAGCTCTGACTCTGCATCTCAAAACAAACAAATACATGCAATTTGAAACACTTGCCAGCATTTATGAAACATGCAGTATTCCAGTCACTGTGCAAAAATAGTTTACATGTGCCATCTTGCCTAACACTCTCAATACAGTGACTAGCCAAGTAACTTCAGGGAGATGATCCATAAAGAAAAAAATAAGCTCTGTAGGATCCCGTACCTCAAGAATCCCTTAGCCACCACACTGGATCACAGCTTCCCTTTCCCACCCCAAAACCCCAGTCCTGTAGTCTCCACACTAACCTAGGGGATCTTGGCTTTAGCTGCAATAAAGAAAGCGCTGTACATACAAACTGGCTCTAGTCTCAAGAGAGGTCTAACACATGGTAGATGCCCCAAACATATCCAGTTTCTCTTCCCCTGTCCCTGTCTCCTCTAAATAAAAAAACATCTTTTCCTACTTCCTGTAAACTCCGTACCACCGTACACCTCCTGGGACACATCTTATGCCTCAATATTAGCACTCTATGTCCTATCACGTGCTTTGACAGCAAAGGACAGTTTTTAAATCTTCATGTATTAACCGTGGAACAAATAACTGATAAACGAACCTAGATAATTGCTTTAAGTTCTGTGTAGCTTTCTACCCACTCTGATTAAACGCCAACCCCATTATTAGGCAAGACAATCTGTCAAGCGTCAAACCGCTTTCTTGATGAATTCACCTAACGCTTCCCGATGTTAAGCACGAGGAGGGAACGGCAAATTCGGGTTAGACGAGGGTTTCTGGGCACCAAAGATAATTCAACGTGCTGGTGATTGTCGCATCAAAATAGTATAGAACATTAAGACGGTTCGAGTATGTGAGTCACGTGGCTCTGCAGGGTGCCGGCGATTGGGGACTACGACGGTTTCGGGGTCGTGTAACGACCCGCTGACCCATTTTGGGGGGTTCGTTACGAGCTGCCATGCCCAGCCACATCCCGCTTGGGGCTTCTGAGGAGAGGTGCCAAAAGCAACGCCTCCTCTTCCCTTCCCACACCGCGTCTCCCAAGGGCTTTCCCTTCCCCGCAGGGCTCGCCCTACACTCCGAGAGGCGTGGCTCTCCCCTACCCGCCCGCCTACGCTCTTCCCGGGGGCTCCGCCGGAGTCCCCAAGGACCCTCCCCTCTCCAGGTGGCCCCGCAAACGTGGGGCTGCGGGAAGGGCCTGCACAAGCCCCAGGCCGCCCCTTCTCGGGACGCGTCGACTCCAGACCCTGCCGGCGACCCTCCTTCGCGCTCTCCAGCGCCTCACCTGCTCGGCCGACACCGCCCCCTTGCCCGCGCCGCTCCCGCTGCTCTTGCCGGCGCGACCGCTGTTATCCGCCATCTTCGCCGCCTGCTGGGTTTCCGGCCTGCGCAGCTCAGCCCTCCCGAGTTGCGTCACGTCCGGTTCGAGAGTTGCCGCCCCCTCGCCCCGGCGCCGCTCGGGATCGGACCTGCGGATGGTTTTGGCTGTATCTTCATGTAGGACCTACTCCCTAAGACACTCCTGACGCGGTGAATTCCACCTGCGGTGCTTTGACTCATGCAACAGAGATGCTGCCCCTGGGGGAGGCGGGAAGGACGGGCCAAGGAGGGGTGGGGACGCGGGTTCCCGTGCCCCCTGCCCACCTCGGAGTAGTGGGGTACGAGGGAAGGGCTGTGTCTCCTGTGTAAGGAAGGAAATGTTCTTTGAATTAGTAAAGCTGTGCAAGTGCACATTCAAGAAAAGAGGCTTAGAAAAAACGAGGACGTTTCCCCTAGATGACTTTTGAACTGCGGAATCGCTTGGCCTTTGGCGTTTCAGCTTCCTGTGAGGTCCCGGGAGGCACGGAGCAGAGTCCATTGCACTACAGCTCTTGTCTTGGATCGGGTGGGATAACTGGCAAGGCCCTGGTTGAGCTTCAGTGTGAAGACAGAATCCTAGAAGTGATTTCTTTGAGGGCAGGGTTGCGTGCCCCGCTGATTTCTTCTCTTTCTAGGCTGGGCTTCATCACCAGGCCTCCTCACCAGCTCCTATCCCTTCTGTGTCTCGGACTCCGGAAACCTCGACCCCCAGTACTCTGTGGCCTGCCCAGGTAACATTTTGTTGTGTCCTCGGCGCCTGACATGTAGGAGATGCTCAGTGTTAGCTAAGCAGATGGTGGGAGACCCGGGGACCATCCATAAAACACTGGATCGGCAAGTGCTGCATCAGTGTGGACTGTAAGAGCACAATCCAGTGTTAGTCCAGCCCACCCTGCTTCCCCATCCAAGCCGATTATTAAACTTGGGTTTCCCCATGCTAGGAAATCTGACCATCCTGCCTGTGGCATTCACAGGCCCAGAGCCATGGCTAACTCCTCCTCCTCCTGGGAACTACCCCTGGTGGCTGTGTGCCAGGTAACATCGACACCAGACAAGCAACAGAACTTTAAAACGTGTGCTGAGCTGGTTCGAGAGGCTGCCAGATTGGGCGCTTGCCTTGCTTTCCTGCCCGAGGCATTTGACTTCATTGCACGGGACCCTGCAGAGACGCTCCGCCTATCAGAGCCACTGGGTGGGAATCTCTTGGGAGAATATGCCCAGCTTGCCAGGTATCAGGGAAAGGGGGAGGAGGGAGAGGCAGATCTTTTCTGGGTGTCTCTGGATTGGCAGATGTGACATTTGAGTCTTAGAGTCCTGTGTCCCCTCCTCCCAGGGAATGTGGACTCTGGCTGTCGTTGGGTGGTTTCCACGAGCGTGGCCAGGATTGGGAGCAGACTCAGAAAATCTACAATTGTCATGTGCTTCTCAACAGCAAGGGTGAGACGTCACAACCCTGTAGCCTGCCTCTCCCCATGCTCTAAGCTTAAACTCTTCACAATTCTGTTTTCTCAACCCTGTCTCCTTGGTTCAACATGTTAGAGGTTACCTGTACTTCTCTGTTCCTAAGCCTGTAAACTCTCCTTGAGAGAAGAGGAGCCAAGCTGAAGCATCTGGAGCCCCAGCAGTATTTCCCCTCCCTCTTAGGCTCAGTAGTGGCCACTTACAGGAAGACTCATCTGTGTGATGTAGAGATACCAGGGCAGGGACCCATGCGTGAGAGCAACTCTACCTTGCCTGGGTCCAGTCTTGAGTCGCCTGTCAGCACGCCAGCAGGCAAGGTGGGAGTTGAGAAGATGTGGGTGGGAGCGGAACAAGGAGGGGAAATACTACTTTGGGGTATACAAAGCTCTAAAGAGTGGAATAATGGGGTATGACTGCAAACTGTGACAAATAGGAAACAGAGGCTTTAAGCAAGCTGTTTTCATTCCAGATTGGTCTAGCTATCTGCTATGACATGAGGTTTCCTGAACTCTCTCTGGCATTGGCGCAAGCTGGAGCAGAAATACTTACCTACCCCTCAGCGTTTGGATCGGTTACAGGTCCAGCCCACTGGGAGGTAAGAGGACATCTCTTCAGAACACTTTGTCTTAACCTTATTTTACTCTTAGCCCTACCAGTTAAGATTTTTCTTTCCCTCCCCACCTAATGGGAAAATTCATTCCCCAAATTGTCATGTTTACATAGTAAATCATTCCTAGGCAGTTATCAGAGCGATCACAATGGGTAATTAGCCTGCAAAGTCCATGTCATTTCTCCATACATTTCTCCATATACATACATATATATATATTTCAGTGAAAACATGTTTTCTTGTCCCCAGGTGTTGCTGCGGGCCCGTGCCATTGAAACCCAGTGTTACGTAGTGGCGGCAGCACAGTGTGGACGTCACCATGAAAAAAGAGCAAGTTATGGCCACAGCATGGTGGTAGACCCCTGGGGAACTGTGGTGGCCCGCTGCTCTGAGGGGCCAGGCCTCTGCCTTGCCAGAATCGACCTCAACTACCTGCGACAGTTGCGCCAACATCTACCGGTGTTCCAGCACCGCAGGCCTGATCTCTATGGCAATCTGGGTCACCCAGTGTCTTAAGACTTTTGACATCTGAGATGAGACCCCTTCCCCATTGTGAGCTGGTACAGCTGTGGCTTGTTGGCAGGACCCAGGCGCAGCTCCCCTCACTCGTAGAACCTCAACTCTATAGAACACAAGCTCAGCTTCTTGGGAAGGAAACTCTCGCCTGAGCTCAGATTCCAAGAAAGATGAAATTTTATATAGTCACTGTTTATTTCATGAAAACAAATTATGCTGAGGGCTGAGCAGCACTGGCATTTGAAAAAAATATATAATCATCATAAAGTCTGTGTCTGGACATCTCCTTTGGGAGCTGGAAAGGAAGGTGGTACAGTCCCAGCTGGGCTAGGCTCCAATACTAGGCCTCCTGCCTCATTCAACAGGCCTCCCTACCTAAACAAAAGTGCAACACTCAGTGCATGTCCTGGCCCTAGACTCCCAAGTATGGGAGTGGGAGTAGGGCTAGAGGAGGGGAGAGGAAAAGGAGTTGATAACCGAATTATTTCACTTTCACCAATGATGGCCTTTCCCCAAGCCAGAAGAAAGCAAAGGGGAAAAGGACAACAGGACGCAGTATTTTTACTTGAACATGGAAAGACAGTGTCACACTCCTCCCTTCCCCTTTTCAGGGGGAGTGTGCCTTTAATCAAAAACCTCTTCTTCACCCCTCCAGTTGGACAAGTGACTAATTTCATCATTGCGTAGAAGAGGGTTTGACAAAGGGGGGGAAAGGAAGGAGCCACACCAGGCAGAAATTTCAAGCCGTGGAATGGAGGAAAGAAGGCAGAGAGGAGCAGCACCAGAGGCCAGGAGAGAGTGGAAAGGGCCACAGCTTGTTTTTTTTTTTTTTTTCTTTAAAAAAAAATTTCTGTAATTTGGAAGAGGGAAGTGATTGATTTCCAAAATACACTTCAGAGTCCCACCTTCCACGTAGCTCCCTTACAGCCCTTTGGTTTTTCAGACAAAATTTAAGAGCCCTCATAAAGCCAGAAGTATTGAGAACCCCTCAATGCACCCAAAAGCAGTGTTCACTTCAATCCCTTACAAAGACTATGTTCTATAGACTTTGCTTCTTATACATTTGTCATTCGGCTCAGTGGTAAGGTGGCTGTGGAGACACATTAGAGGGTGAGTGGAAATGGGAAACTGGGGGAAGCCCAGGCACGTGGGTGCAGGGAGGGTGGGGAACACCACTTCCACTTTCCTTTGTCTTTTCCTTAAAAAAAAAAAAAAAAAAAAAGGCAGGGGTGTGATTGGTTGGAAGGGTAGAGAATGAACCCCAGAACAGTATGTAAGCTCCAGAAGTGGGTGGTGGGAACAGTCCCCACCAAGATGAGAGGTGGGGAGACGGTCAGGGCAACGCTTGCAGCATCAAGTTCCTCAGGAGTTTCTGTCGGCCCAGCTCGTAGTCCTCCTCATCCACATTCACCAGCAGCTTGATGGCTTCATGACCCACAGCTTGCTTGAGGGAGTCTGTGATAAAGACACCTTTCAGTGCCTCTAGTAATGAGCCATTGATATAGTCGCGCCAGAATGCGTCGAGGTAGGTGAGCTCAGAGAACTTGATGTCACAGATGATGGAGCCCAGGTCCCGGGACTTGAGGATGGTGTTGGCCTGGTTAAAGCGCTCAAACTGGCGCTCCAGTGGGTCCTGCTTGTTAGAGAAGACATTGCCCTGTAGAGCAGTCTCATGCTGGCAGTATTCAGCCCGAACTCGGAGTCTGATGTCTGTGAGACACAAGACATGAAGCCGAGGTTACAGGTGGAAGATTTAGAGCAGAGAAGGTTACACCTAAGTTAAAAAAAAAAAAAAAAAAGGAGGGGGTGGGGTATTGGGACACAAAGCAGGAAACCCTCTCTAAATCTTAGGACACAAAGCAGGAAACCCTCTCTAATTCTTAGGACTATTCTTTTTATCTATTAGAAAGGTAGAGAGAGAGGGAGAGATCTCGCATCCAACTAGTTCTCTTCCCCTAAAGCCTCTGACAGCAGGGTAGAGCCAGGCAGGAGTCAGGAATTCCATCCAGGTCTCCCACGTGAGTGCAAAGCTCGTGTTCCAACACAGGAAGCAGGTGTCCCAAGCAGCAGCTTAATATACTGTGCCATCCAGCACTAATTCTTTCCTGTGTATCTCTGAAATCATTGCCTGACTAGGAGGATCCCTTAAGTGGAATATGCTTGGGTCAGCATTATTCCTGTCACTCCAAAGTAGCACCTTGCTTGTAGGAGATAATTTTCCTAATTAACAGGCTTAGAAGTTAATTTTAAGACTATCTAGACGTGGTTTGCCTTACAATAAGGATGTCATAATGGCACTCCTTTGATCTACTGTTCAACTAGAAAGAGTTGAAATGTATCCTTCCCATGAGACAACCATTCAACTTCAATGTGCAAAAGTGGTCAAAGTGAAGTTTGCAGTGAATAGCATAAATTGTTCAGTATCCAAGTAGCAGTTTGCATTTTCTCCCAAGTGGTTCTTTATATTTTTTCCACCTCTGACACCCTTAAAATTCCTTACCGCATGTCTGCTTTTCCTTGGGATCTGGCGTCACTGACTTCCGACGTTTCCGTTGGCTCCCAAGTGTGGCTCGCCCTCGGGCTGGCCGCTTGCTACACGTCTGAGGACCCGAAGTGGGGCAGCACACCACAGGATAGTGGGGAGGCACTGACCAGAAGACAAGAGGGAAGAAAACACAGCTGGGTAAACACAAAATCTAAATGTCTCCCTTGGGATGAGAAAGGAATCATTTAGACTTAGCACTGAAAACAGTATCAACAATGTGACCAGGAAGGATGACAGATGTTAGAGTGCATACAGAACCTCTGTAAAGTAGCCACACTTCACCCCATCTTCCATGGGACTAAGGGAGGATAGCATCCCTTGGCTGAAGCTAGCAAAGCCAGGAGTGTGATGGTACTATCCTCTTACTTGACTGTGGAAGGCACGAGCAGTTACTATCTTCTCACCTGTTTTAGGGGACTGGGGAGGCCTCGGTTCTGGATCACTGAGGGCTCTGGGGGTCACATAGCGAACTGATGTCTCTTCCAGATACTTGTCTACAAGATCAGGGCACACTGTAAAGGGAGAAAGAGTCATTCAGGGAAGATACACCCTGCCCCACTCCCAGTCCAAACCTTCAACAAGCCTTGTAACTTAATTCTCCCAGGTTCTCCCCAGGGTCAAGGCCTCTTCCCCAGGGGTTACTGCACTGCCCCCTGGCCTCCCACAATTTTCCCAATTCCAGTGTTCCCAGCCCCCAAGGGCACCCTCACCAGCCCGTCTCTTCTTGAGGGTGACATAGGGCAGCAGGTCATGGCGAGTGATGATGCGCAGCAGCTGCAGCACCTGACGAAAGTTACTCTCATCACAGCGGCCCTGGCGCTCCAGTGCCAATAAGAAATCACGTCCATTTCGGATGAGTCCACGCTCGTGGTCATCAATGACATCAACAAAGAGGAAGGAAAGCACACGCACGTCTCTGTGTGTCAGATGGGTACCCACGATGTCAAACATGCGGTGCAGGCTATACAGCCCGTGTTCCTGCTCACCATGCTCTTCTGGCCACACCTGGCTTGCTCGCCGCTTTAGGCCCGCCATGCTGGGGGCTCAGGTACGCAATGCTTCCCAGAGTCCCTGCTCAGCAGCTGTAATCCCCACTGTGCTGTAAAGATAAAGAATCTGTAAACCACTTGACAGAAACGATTCTTACCCATTCCTACCTATTGTGCCTAGCACAATGCCTGGCACAGTATAGTAATAACAAGGAATACAGTAACATGTTTTGTTTTCCTGGAGAGGTTGAGAGAATGTTCCCATCTGCTAGGTCATTCCCCAAACGCAGCAGCTGGGAATGGGCCATGTCAAAGCCAGGAGCTTGGAACTCCATCCGGGTCTCTCCTACGGGTGGTGGGAAGCCCATTATATGAGCCATCACTACTGCTTCCCCGAGTCTGTTTCAGTAGGAAGCCACAGTCAGCAACAGGAGCCAGGTATCAAACCCAGTCACTTAGATGTTGGATCAACTAGGCCAAATACCTCATAAAATCCTAGAACTCTGATAACCACCAGATGTTGCTGCCAGAAATCCAGACCCTATTAGAGAAATCTAGAACTCTGGGAGTGTATGTAATGTTAGTACATTTATTCAACAGAAGTTATTACACATTAGTCCCAGGGCAAGCATGTGGCATGGTGGGTTAAGTGGGAATGCCTGGCATCAAGTCCTGCCTCTTCTGATCCAGCTTCCTTCAAGTACTTGAGTCTCCAGCACCCACATGGGACACTCGGATGGACTCCTGGCTTCTATCTGGGCCAGCCCCCATTGTTAAGGGCATTTGGGGACTGAACACAGATGAAAGATCTATTCTCTCTCTTCATTCTAATTCTCAAATATTTTAAGAAGTTACTGCTCTTATTTCTCCTACCTCCAAAGTGCCACTTAGCAACTACTACTCCCCAACCAGTTAAAAACAAAATAGGTAAAACTGAAAAGCAGAGAATTCACATTCAACTCTAATATGGGAGCCACTTCGGATGAACTTAGGAGTTAACAACAGAGAACGATTTCCAGAGTCAGAACTAGATTAAACTGAGTGTATCATTAAGCCGTGCATCAATGACCAAAGCAAGGCACTCAGTGTCCTCATCTACAAGACACAGATGAAAGAAGCCATTTGGCAGAGCTGAAACTTCAGAAAGCTAGGGCTAGTACAGTGGTGCACACTGGGCCTCTGCCAGCAGCACCAGCATCCCAAAAGGTGCTCATTCAGGTCCCTGCTTAGGGCCTGGGAATGCAGGCCTTGGGCCCTGGCACCACGCAAGAGAGCGGAAGAAACACCTGGTTGCTGGCTTCAGAAGAACTCAGCCCCAGCTACTGCAGCCACTGAGGGAACGAACCAACAGATTGAAGATCTTTGTCTCTCCTTCTCTGTAAATCTAACTTCCCAATAAAAATAAATAAGTCTTTAAAAAAAATAATAATTCAGGACCCAGCACAATGATTGAACTGGCGAATCCTCTCCTGCAAATGCTGTGGCCCCAAAGGGATGCTGGTTTGTGTCCCAGCTATTCCAGTTCCCATCCAGCTTTCTGCTTGTGGCCTGAGAAAGCGGAAAGCGGTGGAGGATGGCCCAAAGCCTTGGGACCCTGAACCATGTGAGACCCAAAGAGAACTCCTGGCTTTGGCTTTGGATTGGTTCAGCTCCACACACTGCAGCCACTTCAAGATGGAAGATCTTATATCTCCTTGCTATAAATCTACCTTTCAAATAAAAAT